TCTTCCAGCCACACCCTACCACTTCAACTACCACTCAGTTAATCAGCGAATGAATCCCCTGATTAGGTTAAGGCCCTCACAACCCAATCATTTCTCCTCTGAACTTTCTTGGATTGTCTCACATGCGCTTTTGGGGGACACTTCACATGCAAACCATAACACCCTCCCTTCCATTTCTGCTCTTGCTGTCCAATCTTCCCTCTGGATCCTGCCATTTGGTTATGCAGAACTGTGACCTTGTCCTTGGGAGTTACGAGGCTACTTCACACCCTTAAGACTAGGTTTCATCTTCTACTCAATCATTAACCAAGGCAGTTTTTTTTTCCTTATCAAAAAATCCTGGGGCTAGCAGTTGTTGATTTTCAGGATCAGAAGAGAGTGTGGCATAATAGGAGAATTACCAGGCCTAACAATATGAACACTAGGCACTGGAAGGTGTTTAAAGCCAATAATTAGATGTGGGGATAAAAATAGAAATAACAGCATAACTATTTTTGTTAATATCACCAGACTCTAGAATCCCCATTTTAATGTACACAGTCAACTTAGCTCTAGATTCTAGAGCTGAGAGTTACATTGCCTATCAGCCTAAGAATTATTCATCAGAAAATGGTTTATACATGATTTAGAAAACTAAAGTTGCAAGAGTCCAGTCTTTACTGAAATCATACTCCCACCCACCCCCCAACCCTGCTACCCCTGTTCCTTACACTTGTGAGATCTGACAAAGAGGACAGGTATTATAACTATGGACTTATATGAATAAGTTTATGCTAAATAACTATACAAGATTATCCTAAAAATAAGTTTATTTATCCAATTAAATGAATATTTTGGCTTGTATTTAAAGTTGGCAGGACCCCTCCTCCACTGCTGTCAAATTTCCCAATCTTATTTGACAACATTTGCAACTGTGGTCGACCAGGTGGAAGGAAAGGCAGCCAGTTGCATGGCACCTTCTGAGACCCCTGGCCTGCTGCAGTCTCTTGGCTTCATGGCTGGCACACAAACCCAGACGTCTGACTCTCCCGAGGCCTCTCTTTTAACACATACCTACAAAACTCTTCCTCAGCAGTCTTCCTGTGCCCATAATCACCTTTGCTCTTGTCTAACTATTTGCGTCATTCAGAAAATTGGATGGCCTACTTTTAATTCCCACTCTCGTTTGGCTCACTTAAGTAGTTTATACCATCTATGGGAAAGCTCTGAAGAAAAACTTTACCCTTGTGCACCTTCAGGAGGGAAGACCAGGAACTAAAAACCTCCCAGGAACAGAAAGATCAGTAGATGTAACTCAGTGATAGAGCACTTGCTTAGCATGCATGAAGCTCTGAATTTCATCCCTTGCACCAAAACCAAAAGCAAACAAAAATAAAAAAGGGAAAAACTTCGTAGAGATGGCCTGAGAAAGAGAAAGCTCCATGACTTCATTTACTGGTTGTTTTTTTTTCTGGAATATTCTGGCTCAGTTCAACAAGAGTTAAGGGGGGAATGCATCCTGATTTCTCTGATTTGGAGTCTCACGTTGCTTCCAGGAGGTCAAGGGAGACACTGAGCTTTCTGTAGGGCATAGGGCGTGGTCTTTCACCTCCATTCCTGAGACCAGCTATAGGACCTTGCTGGAGACATAGTCTATTTATTTCCTTTGTATTTCTCACAGCTGGAATACACAGGGCCAGTAAGGACTCAGCCTGGATCCTACAGGCAGCTGCCCGAGGAAGGGCCTTGGTGAAACACACTTGGAAGCCGAAGGTGAGCATGGAGGTACCAGAGCCCAGCCTGGTACCTCCATGCTCCCAGGAGGGAAGGTAGATTGGAAATCTGAGTCATATGTCCTCACTGTTCACCCAAGGATTTCATGTCCCTTTGGCTGGCATTGCTAGTTTCTCTTTGCAAAACGATTGATCCTGCTGCCAAATGTGCCCTAAGCCTTCCTCATGCATCAGGGAGATGAATGATAAGTAACTAGAGGGCACAAAAAAAAGGCCAGCCTGTGAATGGGGAAGTCACTTTGAGCTCGGACTAGTGCCTTGGACATTCTGTCAATAGACTTAGCACTGGCCTGCTGACCCAAGCAGAACTGAAAGTAAGAAATAAGGACTATAAAATTGAGGTTTGCTCACCAAGTCCCAAGCTTGGCACCAGAAATTCTTGGCTTCCTCCAAACAGCTGCATAGAAGCAGTGGACAAACCTATCTTGTGTCTGATGAGTCATTTTGCGTCAGCGGTGTGTGGCAGGGGCATCCTATAAGGGCTTTTCTAGATGCTTTATCTGGCTCGTGCTGTTTCAAAAAAAAAAAAAAAAATTGATAGGGGCTGGGGGTGTAGCTCAGTGGTGGAACACATGCTTAGCACACAAAAGGAAAAGACCAGGTAGCCAAATTCCAAAATTCCAAAATGAATGGGCACTTTGAGATGCCGTGGAAGCAAACATTTTTTAACGTCCCCAAACTCATATATGTTCCTCATCATTCATTTGCTGGTCTTAATAAGAAAGGCTGAATAAACTGACTTTCCTTAAATCAGAATGATGAAGGCTGAGAGAATTTGGCAGCATGATATTTAGGAAAGTGCATGACAGCACAAAGTTGTTCTCTTTCCTTATTCTGAGGCCAGGGCTTTATACCATATCAGGATTAGGCATCAAAACAGGTTTTGAGTTTCTGAAGAAGTTTAATCAAATATGAGTAGAGAATCTATTCCTCTAATATTTTAAATATGTTTATGTATATATGCCTACAAAGTTTTAAAAGTACATTTTGAGTGTGTGTGTGTGTGTGTGTGTGTGTGTGCGTACACGCGTGCACACTGGGGATTGAACCCACACTACATATACATTCCAACACTGAGATAAACAGCCACTTTTAATTTATTTTTATCTTAAATAAACTTCAAAACTCTAATTATCACATGTTATTGTCACCTTCATTTTATAGATGAGAAAACAGGTTCATGAAAATAAGGTGATTTGCTCAAGCAGGATGCCACAAATGGTTGTTTGGTCCTTGGATATAGAACCAATATTCTGCCTCCAAATACCATCTAAGTTTTCTCCAAACCAACACAACAAAATTCCTGAGATGTCTTACATAGAATACTTGTCTAAAATTTTTGAAGAAACTTTCAAATATATTACTTAGATAGTCAGGTTTTACAATGCTCAGAAATGGAAAATTTGATCTAGACCTGCATGTCCCCAACATGACCACAAGATGGCACAGTAACCCCGATAATTGAGAAATTGGCTTCATTCTGTGCACCAGTAGAGGGCTGCAGTTCCTTTTTTCCAAAAGGGAGAAATGGGGTGATGTTGTTGTTGGTGGTGGGGGTAACAAATCCACAACAAAACACAAAATAACAACAACAAAAACCCTTCACTGTCTACATCGATTAAATAGGATGGTGGGAGGTTGTTTTTTTCTTTTTCAGTTTAAGCAATGAGAGTTCAAACAAACAAGTCTCCATTTTCACCTCTGTGTTTGCTTTTGGAGGCACGAGGTCAGGACTTGGGCCAGCCGCCTAGCCTACATTATTCATCTGTCCAGCTCCAGTCCTGGAACAAACGTGAAGAAATGAAGTAGCTTCAGTCAAGGGAAAACAGTGTTGTTATTGTTGCCGGTGACAGTTCTATTTGCCAACAAACATAAAAACATACTTTGGAACCCGAACGGGCTTGTCAGAGGGAACTTTTGTTCCATGTTTGGGCTGGGACGCTTCCAGAGAGAAATCAGACTGGCATTTGAACTTCAGGAGGCAGGGAGAGCACTGTGCACAGCAGCCACTGACCCGAAAGGCCAGGCCATCAGCTGTAGTTTTCATCTGGGTGTTGTTTGACTGCAGTCCATGAGGCTCCTGGTTGCCAACTGGGGTCACTGCCCTGAATGGGTATTATGGGGGAGGAGTGTGGGGCATGCAATCCAGGATGATGGACTCGCCACAAAAAAGGGATAAACAGGCTTTGGATTCTGAGCTTTTGGAAGGTGGTCCTTACTTTGGGGCTTTGGGACAGTGAAAGCGGTCCTGATTCTGCAGGATTTATTTGCTGTCAGGTCTCAATTATCCTAAGATTGTTGGCTGGACCTTCAGGATCCCTTGCTATGTGGATTAATTACTCTAGGGATAAAGCCATCCTCGCTGTATCTGCTGGTCAGAGTTCAGGGTATAGAAACTCATGTTAATACCAGTCTAAGAAAGCATAATTCAGAAAGCCAATCTGCCTATTCCTGCTACCATTACATAATTCAAGTTGGAGGTCCTGTCCACAGCTGTCTGGGGGCTGCCTCCTCCCTCTGCAGACGGGAGAAGTGCACTGGATGGATGGACTTACAGTAATCTATCTATTTGGAAAGAGAGGTGGTGATAAATTACTACCATGGTGAATATCATTAAAATGCAGTAGAACCAAAAGCACTTTGAATCTTAATTCCTGGCTCCTCACATCATCATTCTGCAAGGGTATGCAGGATATCACTGAACATTTTAATTTTACATTGAGCTCTAAAGTTGGAAAGGCATCTTAGAGATTATCGGGTCCAAAATGTCTGTGTCTAAGATGGCAAATTCCCCCTAGGAGGAGTCGGAGATGCTCAGTGAATGGATCAGCCCCTTGTTTTGTAAATAAAGTTAACAGATCTGGGAAATGAAGTGATTGCCCCAATTATATACCTAATTGGTGGCAGATCAGGGACAAGACACAGCCATCTAAATCTCCCGATTAGTGCTGCTTCTATTCCATTTTGCTGTCTTGAATCTTAAAAACCCTCAGCTTAATTTATTTATTTGCTTTATTTGTTTATTTACTTTTTGTAGTACTGAGGATTGGGCCCAGAGCCTTGTGCATGCTAGGCAGGCTCTCTAACATTAATCTATGTCCCTGGCCCCATTTATCTTCTTTAAAAAAGCAAATTTTAATGCAGTTTGATTCAAGACTACACAGTCGTAAGACAGAGGCAGTTCAAAAAGAGGCCTCTCGTTTTTCCAACCTTCGGATTCATTTGGGTCTCAATTCCAACTACTGGGCCTTATAAACCTTAACTGACCTTAGAGCTAAAAATGTTCATTTCTAGCATCCAGCCTCAGATTTGTGGGCATTTATGAGAGAGGCATAGGAGAGAGCAAAGATTGGCAGACTTTTTCTAGGGAAGGGCTAGATAGTATTTGGGGCTTTGAGAGTCATAGAGTCTCTGTCATGAGTACTCCGCTTCAAGGTTCTAACACAAAAACAGTCGTAGAGAACACATAGACAAAGGAGCATGGCTGTGCTTTTTCTAAGGAAATAACTTTTCTTAGGAAAACAGGCAGGAAGGGGAATGGATTTGGCCCTCAGGCCAAAGTTTGCTGACTTCTGAAATAAAGGACTTGGACTTTGACTTACTGTTCTTCCGCATATGCCTGGTCTAAGCAAAGGGATCTTATTCATCTTTTAGACTGCACTGTACTGACATTCCCAGTCAGTGGTATCCACCCACCTTACTAAGTGGAATTCTTAAATCTTTTTTTTTTTTTTCAGTCAGAGACTTGACAATCCTAATAAGGAGATTTATTTGTGTGGTGCTCTTGTGTTTACATATTATACAATTTGAGCTTGTGAGATAGTGTCGTAGTCAGCTTGGACTGCTATAACAGAACACCACAGACGGGGTGGCTTAAATGACAGAGCTTTCTTTCTCACCATTCTCTGGAGTCTGGGAAGCCCAAGATCGAGGTGTGGCAGATCCAGGGACTGGAGAGAGCATTCTTCCTGGTTTGTAAGTGGCTGCTTCCTTCTTGTATTCTCACAGGGGAAAGAGAAGGGGCAGGGGGGCGCTTGGCGGGATGTGGGGGGAGAAAAGTAAACCCTTCTGTGTCTCTTCTTATAATTAATGTCATTCATAAAGGCTTCCCTTTCATGACTTACTGTAATCCTACATAACTCTCGAAGGCCGCATCTGCAAATACCCTCACCCAGGGGATCAGGGCTTCCACATATGAATCTGGGGTGGGGGACAGAGACACATTTTGTTCATACAGCATGGGTAGTTAAAGCCAACATAGGAGGGAATTTCAATGTTAGGAATCTGAAGAGGGATGGGTGAAGACCGGAATCTCAGACCTTTCCTGTCTAAGGAACGTCTGACATCACGTTATGCCAGCTCACATCATCTCATTTAATCCTCACAAGATTCGGGAGAGATTTCCATTGTCATGCCAACTTTATAGGTAAATACTGAGAGAAATTAAATTCTGTGCTTGAGTCTTCTAGTGGGCAGCAAAGCTGTGTCTAGAACTGCAGTGCTTTCTGACTCACATCCAGCGCCCCCAACCCCATACACAAAATGGCTTTACTTTTTAAAACAAGGATGGCATATTAATAATCTCTCTACTCATTAGGTGTCCAGAAAATGTTTGTTGTAGGCTAAATAAGCATTTGAAGGAATGAGAAGATCATTTATTTACACATTTTAATCTAATGCCTCTTTAAAAATAACTGTCCAGGGGACTGGGGCTGTAGCTTAATGGTCGAATGCTTGCCTAAAGGGCACTAGGCCCTGGTTCTATCCCCAGCACTTGGGGGAAAAAAGAAAAACCAATTACCAAACAAATGTCCACCCTCATCTCAAATCAGTTTGAGGATGAGATTTGAGTTATTAGAATTTCCCCCTTTATTTTGCATGAGGTCAGGAGACTCCGAGGTGGCAACATGGGAACTTTCCCCTACCCGGGGCAGGGAGGCTCAGATGCCCACATGGGTGGGGCTGATATGTTGGCAGGGCCCAAGGGTGAGGGGGGCCTTTAAGCCATGGGTGGGGCCTGAAGGAAGCTCCCCCATCCTCACAGTGTCTCCACTCTGAGTGGGCAGAATTGTCACCGATGGAAACACAAAGACACCACTTAGAACTGTGGGGACATAACTCTTTTGGCAGATTCCTGTGCAAGTAGCCATTCTCTGATAAACATGGGGATCTTCAGGCCCATGTCCTGCTATGGGCCATGGCTGGGAATGGAGGCCCAAGCATCCTAGTGACTTTGGAGAAGTCGCTTCTCTTTGTTTCAGTTTCCCCTTGAGACTGGCAAAGGCAATCCCTGATGCCCCTTCCAGTTAGAGGAAGAGAGAGCAGCCAGTGACCTGCTGTGGGTTCTCCCTGTGAGGCCTGAGGGGTCATGAAATCATCTTAGATAAAAATGTGACAAGGACTGGGCTTCCCCTTGCGGATCCACAGGCCACCCTGTGTGTGGAAACCCTGCAGACGTCTTTGTACCTGGACTTCTCCTTTTGGTAGAGTCGAGGCGGGGTGCAGACCACAGTTTGTCTTCAAAGAGGAATCTGAAAGCACAGGAAACGGATTTCAAATGGGATAGGTTAGAGCAACCATTACGAAACACAGTATGGAGGCACCTCAAAAAAATAGAAATAAAACTACCATATGATCAGTAGTCCTCCTAGTGAGGGTCTATGTCCATAGGAAATGAAATCAGTCTGCCCAAGAGACATGCACACCCATATTCAATGTGGCACTATTCATAATAGTCAAGAAATAGAAATAACCTAAGTGTCTGTGATGAATCGATAAGGAAAATGTGGAATGAACGCAAAATAGAATACACTTAGCCATAATCAAAATGAAATCTTGTCATTTGTGACAACATAGAAATGGAGATCATTATGCTAAGTGAGGCAAGCCAGGCACAGAAAATAAAATAAAATACTCAGGTAGGATCTAAGAAGTTGATCTCACAGAATGATGGCTACCAGGGGTGGGGAGAGTAGGGGTGAGAGAGGGAGAAGAAAAGGCTGATCGGTGGGTACTAAGTTATAGTTAGGCAGGAGCAAGAAGTTCTGGTGTGAACAGCACGGGATTATGGATAACAGAAACATACTGTATGATCAAAATTTTTGTCATAAAAAATTAGAATATTTGAGAAGATGCATAAATTTAACTCAATTTGAACATTAATTAATGTGTCTATGTATGGAAACATTGTGTGACACCCTATTAGTATAAACAATTTTTATGGCTTTAATTGTGGGTTAAAAAAAGAAAACAAAACAAAAATAGGATAGGAATTTGTTTTTTGCTAAGATCCAGGGAAAACATATGATATTAGGATTTAGTCAGAGGAATAATGGGGGTAACCCCCTTTTCCACCAACAAATTTTTACATTGGTCAGGTGACTTGTCATCTTTGTGTTTACTTTTTAGTCTGTAAAATAAGAATAAGGGATGATAATTTTGAATGTATACTCCACTTCAAGAGTCTGGAGTGAAGGATCGGGTTTGCTTTTTTGGGGTGGGAGGGGGCAATTTTATTTAAAAGATTTTAATTCTTTATAATACAAAGAATTTGATCCTTAGTCATATTTGTTGTTGTTATACATTCTTGTTTAGCTTTTAATTTTGTCTATTTTTGGACATACAGAGCATTTAATGTGTAGTTAATTCCAGAAATATCTTCTTTTATGATTTATTTTATTATTTTTTATTGATTTTTTTTAAAAAAATGACAGCAGAATGCATTACAATTCTTATTACACATATATAGCACAATTTTTTCATATCTCTGGTTGTATATAAAGTATGTTATTGATGTTGTTTTTATGCTTACATTTTTTTCAGGTATCCATGTACTTTTTTTTGTGGTTTTCTTCTTTACAGTTAACTTTAAAATATTTTTGCTTTAAAACTTTGAAATTAATCTGTAACATTTAAAAATTCAACTCTCTCTCTCTCTCTCTCTCTCTCTTTAAAAAAAAAATAAATAAAAATTCAAGTAGCATATATGTGTATATGTGTGTGTGATTTATCATGAAAAAATTTTAAAATGCCACATTTATATCTAATTCCATTACCTTCTCTAGAGACAACTACTGTTACCAATGGATGTATGAATCCTTCAGACTTTCTCCAAACTTGTAGCATATATGTGTATGTGCATGTGCCTGAATATGGCACTTAATTTTACATAAGCAAAACACGTATACATACAATATATAGCATTCCAAAGCTTGCTTGTTTTCATATTACACTTACTCCTGGACATCTCTCCAAGCTAATGCCCATAACTTTACCTTATTTTGTTTAATTGCATAATATTACATAATATACAAGTGCCTCTTACTATAGGGTTATGTTCTGATAAACCCATCATAATCTGAAAAAAAAAATCATTAAGTCAAAATTCATTTAGTACACCTAACCTATGGGCTGTCAGAGCTTAGCTACACAGGACACTGTAAAATCTCAGTGGTTCACCCTAATGACTGTCAGTTGACGGGGACCTGTAGCTTGATGCCACTCCCTGGCATACTGCATATCACTAGCCCAGGAAAAGATCCAAATTCAAAATTTGAAGTCTAGTTCTCACTGAATGCCTATCACTTTTGCATCATCATAAAGTCTAAAACTTACAAGTTGAACCATTGTTAAGTCAAAGATCATCTCTGTTGTGACTTAGGCTTGACTTTGAAATTCATCTAAAATTTGTGTCAGTGAGTGAAGTGAGATAAGGATCCAAATGGATTTTCCCTCGCTCAAACAGCCAAATTTCCCAACAGCAACCTTTTCCCATGCGTTGGGGTGGAGGAGGATGTTTATTTTAAAGTCAGCACAGTGAACAATACACTTTAGAAATAAGAATTGCCAAACTTGTACACCACTCTACAATTTAGAAAGTGCTTTCCTATATATAATCTCATCATTTGAGTCTCACCATGACTCTATGTCATAGAAAGTTTTATTTTTTCCTATTTTACACTGGGGCAGGAGAGGTGGGAGGTGAGAGGTCAAGTTCACCAGGTTACACAATTAAGTGTAGTGCTGAGGATCAAATATATGTCTCCCGACTTTAAGTCCAGACTTTGCCTGTACCGTGGCCAAGAACTTCAGGAGTTTCAGCAACAAAGAAGAGTTTGCCATAAAAATAGTCTCACAGCCTTCAGGAGGTCATTATTCTCAGCCTGAGTCTCCTCATCTGTATAATGATCTCTGAGATACACTTAAGCTTTCAATTTAGGACTAGGGAGGTGGTTCAGTGGTAGAGTGCTTGCCCAGAATGTGCAAAGCTCTGAGTTCAATCCACAATACTACAAAGAAAATAAGAAAAAAAGAGCTTTCAAAATCCAGAAAAAAAAGTCCATTCATTTAGCCAGAAAGTTAAGTTCACCAAATCACTAACTTCCTTGGGCATTTCTTTTAAAATCACGGTCATACTGTATTATTTTGGGAACTTCATGAGATCCTAGCCCTAGAAAAAAAATCTGTTCCATCTGCCTCTTCCCTCAGAGAGATCATTGATAAACTTGAGGGAGAGACATTAGTCTTTATTTTCCTTTATTGTTCTTTTTGTAGGTTCAAACATCAAAACCATCTTTCAGTCTCTATTGGTCAGGAATTCTGGCATGGCTGAGTTGGGTCTCTCTGGCTCAAGATGTATTTGCCAGGCTACAATCAAGGGGTTGGGCTGAGTTTGGAGTCATCTCCAGGGTGGCTGGGTGGGGATCCACACCCAGGCTCACTCACAGTCTGTGGGGAGGATCCATCATGGGGGTTCAGTTCCTCTCTGGCTATTGTCAGGAGACATCAGTTCCTCACTATGTGGGGCTCTCAAGACAGGAACTGAGTCCCCTCACAGCAGCGAGCAAGAGAAGTTGTGTCAAGATGGAAGCCACAGCCCTTTGGCACCTCATCCTGGAAGTGGGGTCCCATCATTACTCTGCTATACTTTCCCGCAGTTAGAATGCGAGAGGGCAGATTCCCTGAATCGAGAGAAC